CTATAAAGGCCTGATAAAGAGAAATTCTGTTCCAGAAAATTCTCCGTGATAAGTATTCTTGGAGAAGTTCTGGCTGATGTAGGTAGCAAACACCATTTCCTTCATGAGTTTGCTTCTTTGAACAATCCACGTTAATAACTCCCGAAATTTTTAGCATGTTTTTCTCCCTCTTTTATTTTTAATGGCCGCGAATGCTTCACTTAACAATAAAGTTCTTAAAACTGTTCTCGATTTTAATTTTCTAAATCTTTGTAGGCTTGTCCAGAAGATGTCACGTCGCTTGGAGGTTTACGTGCTGCTATCGGCGTCGGACTGGTACCCAATCTTACGTCAAATCAGCAGCAGAAATCTGAAGGAAACACTGTTAGCGATAAGAGCGGTCCTGAAGCTCTCACCGGTGAGTGATTTTGTGGTTTTTGATATCTTACTTGTGCTGAACTGCGTACCTTTACATTCGTTTCTCTTTTCTTTGTGTTTGTCGTGTTATTTGTAATCATTTCTTCCTTCAAATTATTTTCCTTTTAATCATTCACTTTGCATGTAATAAAGTTCACAATACAAACAGGTAGACAATCAGACATGGTTTGACGCTACTTTGGCTACAGACTTTCTATGGCAAATAGGATGGTGTGAGTCGAAAGTGAGGTATTCGTCGGTGTAAGTGGGTTTACGATAAACACTTATCTCTAAATTTCCCTGTACCGCCCCGCACACATTTAAATCAAGAGAGGGCAAGTGTTTATCCTATTTACGCACATGGGTGAATTGGATAGACGGCTTCACTGAATTCAAATGGATTGGAGGCGTTCCGCCTCATTTCCGGATACCGCAGAAATAACATCATCGACATGTCATTTCCAGAAAATGGGCTGACGCCTTTTTTTTCACGTCTTCCATAACCATATTAGCAATGACAACAGAGACGGGTGAACCCATAGCTGTACCAAAAACCAGTTGATAGTAGGTACCGTTGTATGCAAATTGCGTGGTTTTGTGGCAAAAAGACACCAGATGAGTTATATCCTCCACAGGCAAAGAAGTTCTTTGTCCTAGGGAAGCGTCTTCTCTGAGTCTCTCCTCCGCAATTTTAACGACAAGATCAAGTGGGATTTTAGTGGAGAGCGAAACAACGTCGAAAGATACCAATTTTTCACCAGCGTTAAGAGTTTTGTCTCTGATGAAATCCGCAAATTCGCAGGAATTTTTGACAGTGTAATCAGTACTCCCAACAACAGGCAACGAAATTCTCACAAGATAACAAGAAATTGCTTTAGTCGGAGAATTAGTCATAATTATCAATGGAATTCCCGGTTTACGAATTTTAGGTAAGCCGTGAAAACGTGAATATAAGCCGTCACTACTATGTAACATTTTGTGCGCACATTCACTAATCTTACCAGCTTATCACGATTAATCGACGTTACCACCAGCGCCTTTGTTTGGAAGCCTGGCATATCAACTCCGCCCGCCTTCCTTTAAATCGTGATGATGGCAGATGAGTACCTATCACCTATTTACTCCTCTCAGAAAAAAGGGCAGCTAATTAGTGAACATATAACAGGCCTCTTGTTACAGCGATTAGATCACTCCTGGTGAAGGCACGAGACAGTTACATCGAAACGTTGGGTCTATGAATTGTAACATCTCGGTTACATTCATTAAATCTTTGAACCAGAGTAGCATCAAACCATGTCTCATTCACATTGTTTACACAACAAGCAAACTCTGCTGGCTGTTTTCTCTTCCTCTTTTAACTATGTTGTAATCTTGTTGTTACGGTGCGCTTGTTCTCTCTTTTAAGATTCTTCAGAGCAAACCATGGACACTACGGATTCTAAACTAAAGACATCATCGGAACAGACCTGAGGCAATCCCACACCTACATTAACTTTCACCTTAAGGCCTTATTTATTATTAACTATTAAGAACAAAAACTCAGATCCCTACTGTATTTTTTAATTTGTTTAACAATAAAAAGTGCCAGTTTCAAATCTTGGTCGAAGATTTCTTGCACAAGTTGATAGCTCGAGCGGTTCCTTCTCCGGTCATACTTTCTCCGCTATGACAAAAGGAAACATAAATGCTTGAGAGAGAGCCCCCTGAAATGGCAGTCAGGCGGTGAGACCACGTATGTTGCGACACACATGTATTCAGAAAACGAGAACATGTAGTATTTCACATTGAAACTTCTCGTGGACTTGCTTATAATTTCGAAACCCATTATTTAACACTAGAATTGTAAAACCACTATGTCTAGTCGCGAGTGGTCGATAGCCATGAAATAAAATCGGAGAGACCTTTTCTTAGAACAACATCGACAGGCTTTTAGTTACAGTGACCGAAATTAAACAAGTCTGTCAATCAGAAAACACCATTTTGATCGGTCTTCAGTTTAAACCTTGGTTTAAAGAAAAATTGATCAGGTCAAAGTATCTAAAATTGGAATGATTTATTTCGCTATTAAAACAACGCATAAACCTCTCGAGTGATATTTTGCCTCACTTTGCCTGGCTAATAAATCAACCTTTTTCGGTCGTTGAAGTATTGATTTTTAATTCCTGTGAGAAAATCGAATCATCTAACTAGACAGTTCGACTATGGTGAATTTTGTTTCCTCTGAGTTTGCTCACAAATACAACAGAGCATTAGCATATGTACAGACGTTCGTTACCCACTTGTGGCCGGCACATGACAATAGAAGTTTCGCGTGCGTGCTCCACGTGTCGCTGTTAAACATCACAAACCTTTAAAATCTTACTTTGCTTCGTTTGCCTTTGTTTTCATTTCTTTAAGTAAATCGAATCACTTTTAACTGATCACTTTGACCATGGGTTAGTGCTTGTTTGCTCTGGGTTCGCTCGAAAATTCAACAGTCATAATCAGAGTTAATACGGAAGTTTGTTGCGCACTTACAGCCAGCACACTCTAAGTATCTGCTTTTCTTAGCGTTTTTCGCCGTCAATTGGACCTAAAAGAATTAATCGAAATTTTTACAATGTTGGTCAAAGTACTAATTTCGGTGTCTAATACGTATGTTAACATGTGAAGATATTCCTAAGAGATCCAATTCTCTCCATCGAGCGAAGCGGATAACATCCATTTGCATTAATTTCCACATGGAACTGACAACTGCAAGCATTTTTTTAAAATTTATTTTCATAATACGGTTTCGTTCATAACGAC